GGCTGTCGGTATGGAGCGGTCGTCAAGTCAAGGCGAGGTGCCAATGCAGCCTCCTGTGCCACGCTTAGCGGCCGTCGTGGTGATCGGGTGGAGCGACCCATCTGCTGTGTCCCCATTCCCCTAGTGGGCAGTGAGGTCACGAGTTGGCGTCGTGATACGGAGCTCTCCACTTGTTGCACGGCGGCGGTCTCCACTAGTGCCCGGAGGTTCTGGTGGATCGCCTGTTCATGAGGGTCGTTCGGCTCGAATAGGCTGCGCAGAAGCATTGCCGCAGCGGCGATGTTCTGACTAGCCCGAGCGAACTACGAGGGATCGGTCCCCCTGTCCATGGTGTTGCGCTGGACCTGATGGGCATGACCCCGGGCGCCGCTCGCCGGTCTATGCGCATGGGGCGCAGTGTGGTGCGTCGAGCGCGCTGACGCAGTCGGTGGCTGATGCAGCTACTGTTGTCGTAGTGCCTCGTCGTGCTCCCATGTGAGCTCAGGGGTCTCCGCACGAGAGTCCGGTGAGGTGTGAGTCTGTGAGGACTCTGCTTCCGCTGGTGGATGTCCCGGAGCGTCCGCCATGGCGCACTCCTAGGACGGACGGTGGCTAGGCGCCATGTTGTCGATGCTGAAGCCATCACTCTCGCCATCGTCATCCATGAGGTCGAGGAAACAGGTGGGAGAATAGCTCGCCATTCCCACGAATTCGAATGCGAGAGGGGGCGGCGCTGGCATCCTTCGGAGCCCCCGGGCGTATGTGTCCGTGAAAGACGTGAGGCCGTGGGGGAACCGGTCATATGGCGGTCGCGTCGGGGACAATGGGGTTCCTCTAGGTAATCGGTGGAAGATAGAGAATAGTAAGTAAATAACAGCATGTACATTACTCACAGCGGGGTTTGAGCAGAGAGTTTGCTCGGAATGAAGCGCAGATGCCGCGTAGTCGAAGTCGTGCATCCCGGAGTCGATGGAGGGCGTCCCTCCGATGGGTGCTAGGACGTGAGCCTCCTCGCGGAGGTGTAGTACGCCGAGTCGGTCGGTGATGAAGTCTAGGCTTTCGAAGAGTAAGGCCTAGGATGGCTCGAAGACGGGTGGAACCCGCATCCCAAAATGTGGGGGAGCGGGAAACTCGAGCGAGTCGAGGCGAATTGTATCGCCTGAGCCCGCCACGGCGAGGGTGGTGGAAAAGTGGGCCATCCGATGACCAAAAAGTATTGAACATACAACGTCTTCCCCACGAACGGCACCAACTGTCAGTGCAGAAAGTGACCAACACATAAATATTTGTAGTTTTGCCATACGTTGTGATCGGAGGTGGCCTAGCACTCAATGACACAGGGTTTATACTGGTTCAGGCAACGTGCCCTACGTCCAGTTTGAGTCGGTCGGTGACTTTATTCCTGAGCCTAGGTGCTCGAAGTTTGCAGTGGGGTTACAAACGAGAAGGAGAAAGATGGGGGGTACAAGAGGTCCGGTCGGACTCCGGTTGGAAGGGCCGAGAGTGACGGGAGCCCCGCTATGAGCTAAGTGTTCAAGCGTGTGATTGTGGTTTGAACCTGGCGGTTCTATTGTTGTGTGCTAGTGAACTTGATCGATCTAATGAATCTTTTTCGTTGGGAGAGATCACATCCCCTTTTATAGATGAAGGGGATGGCCTTACAAGTGAGAGGGAGAGAGTACATATGCTACTAAGCCTTGTTGCCCACGTCGGCGGGTACAGGATGATGGTAGGCGGCCACAATACTGTTGAATGTCAGATGCACGTGGGAGGTTGTGTTGTCTTCTTTGGGTATGGCAGACGTCGGCGCCTGCCATACTATTGATACCTAGAGGTATGTAAGGGGTTTTACCATGTTCGCCTGGTACGGTAAATGCCGGCGTCCACAACACTGTCGATGCCCAGAGGCATGTGGGGGGAGCCTTACCGTATGGGAGTTGAGCGACTGGTTCCTTCAGAAACCTGTCCATCGTCTGTGTTGAGCGAGCTGGTTCCTTAATGTAAACATCGTAAGTCACTATCAATCCTAGTAGGAGTGAATCAATGCCGGACGTGCTGATTCTGGACACAATGACTCCCTGAACCAAACACGTGGTAGATGAAGACATCTCACGAGTTCTTTTTCAGAAGCCACATTTCTATTGTTGTGGCTATCGGAGATGGCCCATGGCCGAGAGGGAGAAAAAGTTCCACCTCCTACGGCTTCCGAATAGGCTGCAGACAGGGAGGGATTGGCACTCGAAACGTGGATCGCCCGGAGTCGCTGATCTGTAGCTGTAGATGGGGCCATGGGGGAAGAGACATGTTCCTCTCCTTGCCTAGCTTTTTTAGGGGAGCACTGACTTTATTTATTCACTAAGATAAGAATTACAAACTCTATCTGGAGGCTGCAAAAATCAAACATGTCTACCTATCGATGAATTTACAGAGCTTCTAGCTAATATATGGGCGTCAACATTTGACTTTCGTCCTTCAAAGACAAAATCCGCTCTAGTGAAACTCCTTCTAACATTTATCTCCCGAACAATTGGTCCATACCTGTCGAACCCCTCATCTAGTAAACTCCTCACCGCATTGGCACAATCGCTCGTAACTCTGAAAGAGTGCAAACCAAGATCACTAGCTAGCACAAGACCTTCACGGCATGTCACTGCCTCCATCGTCTCTAGGTCCGACTACCCTGCCGCCACGAGGACAGACGCCCCCAGGTAATTGCTGTCTTCATCACGGGCCACTACTGTCGCCGCCGCTTGGCCTGAGTTTTTTTACATCGCCTCATCGATCGACGTTGATTTTAGCCAAACCTCTCTTGCCTAGCTAAGCAGCCCTAATTCCCATCTCATGTAAAGTGTAGCGAGACAGGGAAGGGATGAGGCCCGCGTCCGTGTCCTTTAGCCCGACTTTTTTTTTTATTTTTCAGCTCTTTTTTGAAAAATATTCATAAATAGACTCTGGTAGTTTGATTTTCGTTTATGGACCCTGACCTCGGCGCCATGGCTTTTGGCAACGAGAAAACATGTCTCGGTGCCATGACCAATGGCGCTGAGGTCTTAGCGAGGCGTCGGACGTGGCAGTGACCTGGCGCCGACGTGGACAAGGCATTGGCGCCATAGATCTTGGCGCCGAGCTCGGCGCCGTAGATCTTGGCGCTGAGCTGTTACTCTATAGATCTTGGCGTTTGAAATTAAACAAGTATAATTGTTTCCAAGGAACATGCGATAACGCTATTGCGGTTCAGCTGGTTAGGACGCGCACGACTTAGCTCAAAGGCCTGGGTTCGAACCTAGCGCTGAATCTTTTTTGTTATATTTTTATAAGCAATAGAATAAAAAAATTATTTCAAGAAACATACAATAATTACATTGTGGTCCAGTTGGTTTGGACGCACGGGTCTCAGCCCACAAACCTGGGCTTGAACCCAAGCAACAAATATTTTTTGTTAAATTTTTATTTTTATAAGCAATTACAACAAGAAATATTATTCCTTTATTATTAGCGCCCTGGGTTTCACCGCACACTGTATATTATTGTTCTATTGTTCCACCGTACACTGTATATTTAATTTATTTTTTATTTAATTTTGAAACATTACGTACCTTGATCAAGTTGAGTTGAGTGACGTATTTATATATATCTTGTTGTTTGACCATCCTTTTACTTACATGCATATTATTTTTGTCATCATATATAAGTTGAAGGTATCCGAGACAAGAAGTAAATAAATAAAAAAATTTATTTTACATTAAGTAGGTGTAATTTTCTTTGCCCCCTATTTCAATGTTGAGCTCTTTAATTTACATATCTCCCTATTTTACATGAAATAGAATTAACAAGAAGAATGGGCTTAATGTATTAACTAAGAGCTTCATATTATCATCATTTGGACTGTTCAACTAAGTTTAGTGAGGAACGGAGGAGGATCTCCCCCTCATAAGAAAAACACTACTACCGAGGTATATAAACTAATAAATAAATAAATACATTCATGATTATGATAATATAAGAAGGATTTGAATTGAGATAATATATAAATAAATGCATCTTGAGATGTATCCTTCATCCAAAACAAATTACAAATTAGTGAATAATGTTCTCTCATGTTAATAATAACAAAGTTTGGTGGAACCCAGGACGTTAGTAATAACTAAGTAAGAAAAAAATGATTAATAAATACAGCAAACAAAATTTGCCTATTGGATTTGAACCTAGGTCTCATGTAGGAGCAAAGCATCCTAACCAACTAGACTACAACTGAGATACAACATGTTTTTGAAATAATTTTTCTTGTTCTATTGCTTATAAAAATGTAGCAAAAAATTTCAGCGCTGGGGTTCGAACTCAGGCCTTTGAGCTAAGTCGCGCGCATCCTAACTAAGCTGAACCGCAATGGCGTTGTTGCATATTCCTCGGAACAATTATACTTGTTTCATTTCAAACGCCAAGATCTATAGGGTAATAGCTCGGCGCTAAAATCTACGGCGCCGAGCTCGGCGCCAAGATCTACGGCGCCGAGCTCGGCGCCAAGATCTACGGCGCCGAGGCCTTGTCCACATCGGCGCTAGGTCACCGCCACGTCCGACACCTCGCTAAGACCTCGGCGCCATTAGCCATGGCGCCGAGACGTGTTTCCTCGGCGCCAAAAGCCATGGCGCCGAGGTCAGGGTTCGTAAACGAAAATCAAACCACCAGAGGTTTATTTGTGAATATTTTTCAAAAAAAGGGCTGAAAAATAAAAAATTCGGTCATTTAGCTTGGGACTTGGGAGCAGCCCAATAACATGTCTATGGACGGGGTCAACCAAGAACAAATACAGCCCACAGACCAAGCCTAGAAGCCCAGCCCAGAAGCAGCATTTGCTAGCTCGCCTTCGCCTCTGCCAGTGGTCTGCCGAGGTCTCGCCATAAGCCAATCCTACGGTCCACGGCACCAGTCAGTCGCCTCTCCTTCCGGCTTCCGCAGTCCGCTGCTCTTCTTTCCTGGCATCTTGGAGACGGCGGCGAGACGAGGGGGAGGACTGGACCATGGCTGCCTCTTCGTCTCTCAGGGTACGCGCGCGGGCACGCATGTTCATCAAAATCTCACCGTTCTGCTCTGTTGTCAGTATTTCCTCTCTAACCTGTGCTTACACTGGCGCTGGAATGACGCAGCTAATCCTGGGCTCCTCGTCGGCGTCGCGTCGCCAGATTCTGTCCGAGATGGGATACAAGTTCACTCTTCTTGTTGTTTTTTTGTGCTCTATTGTTTGCTTCAGTAAATTCTCTTCTCCCGCACCTTTCAGTTCATTAATTTTATTTTTTCCCCGGGGTCTTTAGAGCGCGGATATCGATGAGAAAGCCATCAGAAAGGAGAACCCAGAGGAACTGGTGGTTGCCTTGGCTCATGCGAAAGTAATTCTTTCTTTTCTTTGTTCAAGAACTGGATTATGCTGCCCCTCTTTGTTTGGTGGTTGCTTTTCATGATTACTAAAGAGAAAGTGATATTTGGGGGGTTTAGGGGATGGGACTGTGGGAGTGGAGCTGGCGCAGCAAGCCAGCAATTATATGTTTAGGGTTTACTAGTGTTTTCTATTTACGGTTGATCAATATTTAGGCACCTAGACCTAGCACATGGATAAATCCCATTGTCAAAGTAACAAGGGTCTTTACTGTTAGAATCTGTTATTTAGTTGTCGTTAGTTCTTACTAACATTTGCCCTTTATTAGTTATGTCAGAGTGTAGGTAATGGTTGATTTAAACAAGTTGCAATTGGATTAACTGGTTTACTTAGTCTATTTTGTGAATGTTGTAGGCAGATGCTATACTGGAGAAGATGCAGAACGATGGGATGATGAAAGAGATTGTTGATTCTCAAGAGACTACTCTGATGATAACTGCTGACCAAGTATGCTGCTTTCATTTCTTCTGGCATGCTTTGCTTGATAATCTTTCATGAGCTGTGTACTTATCTACAATCAAAATATATGGATGTGTCCCGAAACCATCATTCTTGCTGCATTTGAGTGACATGAAATCGTGAACATGATACAATAGTATTTACAGAGCTAGTGCCTGAGCAATTTTTTTTAGGTTCAGCTGCTTCTGGAAACATGCTTGTGTGCTAGACTCTTGAATCGATATTTACTTAGCCACTTTTGTTGTTTAGTTAGGATGTCTATGAAGCTAAGGATAGTAACATCAACATAAAATATGTTTAGGCAAAATTTGCTCCTAGACATGCAAAACAATGCAAAGTGGCTGGTGGACATCGTGAAAATGAATGTTTGCTGGGAGGCACTCTGGCTCAGTGGATATTTTCTGGTGGACACTACCTCAAATAAAATATGGTTTCCAGAGAGTGAAGATTTTCTTTTTCTAATAAATATCACTGCTGCCCATTTTTGGTGGTTCGACGAACATAGAGCAGCGCAGCGCCCGATGCTTGTGGTTGATTGCACGTTTAGTGTGGAATTGGGCTGCGCACATGAGTCCAAATGGCACAGCGACACACATAGGATCTTGGGGTCCCCTGGAGCTGCTGGTGGCAAGCGAAGAAGTGATGCCGGCCCATGGGAGATGGGCAAATCCTGCTCTGGGCATGCTCAAGTCTGCCTGAGGCGGCAGAGAGGTTCATTGGGATGTGGCAACTGGCAACACTCACCCTAGCATCGAGGAAGGTGGAAGAGCTCTGGTATGGCTGCACGGTGAGAAACAAAGAAAGAAGCGTTGATTTCCTGTCGCGAGCCTTCCACAGTTCCACGGCCATGGAGCTCTGCAACTGAGCAAAGGAGAAGCATCGAGGACTGCTAGGGGTACTTAAGGAAGGAGGAATTGTGCCGAAGCTCACTTGTGGAGGAGGCCGACTCCAATGGAGCAGAAAAAGCGACAGGTGACAGTTGCCGATGCTTTGGAAGGAAGGTGTAGGGCGCATGTGCAGCACACGAATGGATGACACCATCATTGTTACTGGCTCTCTATTCAACTAATCAAGGAGCTACCTGGACCATGTTCATATCCCAATATGTTAACTTTGCTATTTATTTAAGGCATCACATTGTACCTAAGAATAATAACTCCTGTGTTAGCGCTTTCCCTTCATTCGTGTAGGCCATGGCTAAATTTGTTAACTTATGGAAACAAAAGTTTTGCTCAGATTGTACTGGGAAATCTATGAAGCTAGTATTTTTTAGGCCCAATATGACTATGGGAATTAGTAAATTTGATTGTTAACAAATTCCAAGTTGAGAATATTTATAGTTTTGCCACATACTTGAATGTGTTATTACTGTTTACTACATACATTAGTGCTTATTTGATTTTGTTAACTCTTCTTCTCACATTTTGCTTTATGGAGGTTGTGATTCATGATGGAGTGATTAGAGAAAAACCTAGCACTCCAGAAGAGGCACGGAAATTCATCAAAGGTCTGTGTTATTTTGTAGAAGAACTCGAATTATTTAATAATATGCTTTATTTGACCTGTCCTTGCCCTGTGTTGCTTGACGAGCACATTTTGCTTTCAGGGTACTCTGAAAGCCATGCTGCTACGATTGGATCTGTGCTTGTTACAAATGTGAAGACTGGAGCTAGAAGGGAAGGATGGGATAAAGCAGAAGTACTATCTAAGTTTCTCTGGTATTTTATTTTTGGAATGAGTACCATACCGTACTTATGTTTAGGTATTACGTTTATTGAAATCCTCAACCTTTCCCCACCAATCTTGGCATAGGTTTCAGTTACTTGTTTAATATGATTTTGTCATTTTGTGCAATGTCTTGTCAGCTTTCTGCCTAAATTTGTAAAGTAGCAAAAAGTTACTTTAATACTTCTTAAAAGTTGATGGGCTAACCTAATTTGAGCCTTTAGGCCCCTTTCCTCTGTAATAAGGTTGAGGGCTGAACATGAATTCTGTGAGAAAGTTTAAATGCTGTTTGCTCTTTTACAAAGTTGAGGGGTGAAAAGACCGGAATCAAAGTTTTAAAACTAGATGTCTAAACTTGTATTTAGAAACACAATTTGCTGTATTTGGTTTGGTTGATACTACCTCTGTCCCCAAAAGAATGTCATTCTAGCTTTGTCCTAAGTCGAACATCATAAGCTTGACCAAATTTATAAGAACAGGACCAATATATATGATATCAAATTAGCACCATTGCATTTGGCATGAAATATATTTTTACAGCAATACATGTTTGGTGTCCTAAATGTCAATACTTTTATCTATAAAGTATAAACTTAGTCAAACATAGGATAGTTTGATTTTTGACAAAACTAGAATGACATTCTTTTGGAGACGGAGGCAGTAAATGTTAATCCTGTAGACCCTCATGAGATAAAAGGTTTACATCCCTTGGTTCTGAGCTATAGCTAATATTTAGTACAATAAAACCATAGTTTTTCAGTTCTGTTCTGCGATGCACAGTTCTTTTTTGTCATGCTAACATTTCCGCTGTAAATGTTGGTGATCAGGTTTATTTCCACAAAATTCCTGATGAAGTTGTGGAGAGTTTGGTAAGTCTGCACTCTACAACACTTAACCCACTATTCTGTTTTTCTGTGCTCTGCGACAGTTGATCTGCTTTGTCACTGTTAAATATACCTCTTCCTTTGAGTGAGTCACAATGTGATGGAATCTCATTGGCGCACAGATTATGCTGTAAAGCAATGTTTTTAGGCGTCGCTTTGGCGTCGCCTAATCGGCAAGGCGCTACAGGTGGGACGACTTGGCGAACGACTCGCCTCAGATTGGTATGGCGTCCGCCTTACTACCATGGCGTCCGGAAGTCGTCGATTTGGCGTCCGATTCGTCAAAATCGAGCAAGGCGGGCGCCATATGGGGATGGCCACGGTAGGAAAACGCGGGCGCGGGAGAAAGGATGGGGAAAGTGCAGGCGCGCGCGGGAGATTAGGCGGAATCGAGCAGACAGCGGCGAGGGAGGGGAGCAGAGCAGAGCTGCAAATCTTTGAAGCTCTACGGCTTTGCCACCCTCGATTCCGCCGTCTCCGCGTCGATTCCGCTTGATTCTGCCTTCTCCTCGCCGCTGTCTGCTCGATTCCGCCGTCTCCTCGCCGCCGTCCGCTCGATTCCGCCATCTCCTCGCCGCCGTCTGCTCAATCTGGAAGGGGACGGTGGCAGCTGTAGATCTGGAAGGGGAGCAGCGAGGGAGGGGAGCAGAGCAGCGGAGAGACGAACGGAGATGGCAGAGCAGCAGAGGGAAGCGGCGCCGCGGAGGGATGAATGGAGGCGGAATGAGTGGTGGAGAACGAGAGAGAGCCCTGGAGGGGATTAGGATAAGCCACGCCAGGAGGGGGACGGGCACATGGGCCGCCTGGTGGGCTGGGCCAGCCCACTTCTTACTCCTCTTTTCTTTTTCCTTTTTTCCTTTTCTTTTTTCTTCATCATCTACTGCTCTAAGTTGCTGTTTTAAGTTTTTCTTAAATTCGTAAGGCGTCGCCTCGCCTCACGATTTAGTCGCTTAAGTGTGAGGCGGTAGTCACTCGCCACGCCTCGCCTTACCGCCATACGCTTAAGTGTAAGGCGGTAGTCACTCGCCAAGATATATTGGTATTTTCAAATAAACTTTTGACTTTTGTACATTTCAGATTGAGGAGGGCAATGTCTTCTATGTCGCTGGTGGTCTCCTTGTGGAGCATCCCCTAACTTCACCACTCGTCGAAGCCATTGTGAGTTACACATGTTCTTATTCTTGTTTGGATACTGATTTTCTACATGGCAAGTTCAGAGGGCATTGTATCGCATTGTGTCTGAAGACCGGAACTCTCTGCAGGTTGGTACAATTGATAGTGTAATGGGGCTCCCTAAAGCGCTCACGGAGAAGCTCATCAAGGAGTCCCTTTCAGAGCCATAGCTACAATCCTATGGACTGAACTGACCTGTGATACAGAAATCATATTGGTGGCGGACTGGCGGTGGCTAAATCAGTTTGGTAGCAATGTAGTGTGAGAATCATGTAATCATCCTATTTTCCAACATAAAAAAGGCCTTCGTGTGATCAGCCCACCATGACCTTGGGTCTGCTGAATCATTCGTTGTGTTTTCTGTTATGTGTTCGGCCGCAAGGATTTTTAATGACTGGCAGATTGCTTGATTTGGTCCATGAATTCGTGCTAAGTCAAGCTCTGTGGTCTGTGCACCTCATATCTGTCTGCCTTGTTTTGTTATATCGTCAAATTCTACAAGTGTAGCTTGGTTCATTTGGTTGATCAATTTTGTTTCTGATGTACTTCCTGTTCGCTTGAACTTATCACTTATCAACCCCTCTTATCAATCATGGTAATCGTTGATGTCACAAGTACCACACGTGGCCTGCCGGGTGGAGCTAAAATACAAATATATCTTGGCCTTACGTTTCGTCCGAAGATGCTGAAATTCTAACATTGGTTAGAACTTAGAAGTTCTGAATATGTACAATGGTGTTTTTTTAAGATATATTATTTCGGTTTTAATTATAGACCATTTTGGCTTTTCATATATAAAGCGATAGTGTATATATATGTGCATAATTTTTTTTTGCGAATATATAGGTGCATAATTATCTATATAAAAAAATCTAAAAACGATCTATAATTTGGACGGATAGAGTTCAATATGGACGTTTGCCAGATACTGTATTCAGAAATTTCATCATCAGCCAGATATAATTTGGACGGAGAGAGTTCAATATGGACGTTTGCCAGATACTGTATTCAGAAAATTCATCATCAGCGATATCCCGAGGCATATCCCGACCGTCGCGTTACCGTGCGGGCCCCGTCGCTCTCTTCTTTTCCCCATCTCGCTGCGGAGGCGGAACGGCGGAGGCCATGGGGTAAACCCCAGCTGGCAGCCGCGGTCTAATCTTCTCGGCCCCAATCAGGCCGGCCATTACCGTGCGGCGAACATTGGACGCGATTCGACATCCACCAAAAGGTGCGTCAATTTCTTCTGTCTGTGATTTGAAGAGTGTGAAGAGGGTGTTGTGGCTGGGGGCGGCTAGTTCAGGTTGTCCAAGGAAACCGGCGTGCCGGGGCGGGGCTATTTCAGAGCAGCTAAGGAAACAGGCGCAGGCGCTTCCGATTGTGCCTAAGAACAAAACCGAACCCCGCGAAGGTATCTGCGAGCACCTGCAAAGCACAGCACCACACAACGCGACCGATTACGAGGCTTTTATTATAGAAGCGGTACCTCCATTTGTTTGTGGTGTCCATTAGTTTGTGCTTAGTTGTATTGGCTAGTGTGCTAGATCGATTAGCGTCAGAAATTTTGAGGGTCTCTACTGTGGTGGTAACATAAGACAATACGCGTGCTATTTATGATACTATGATGTAATGCATAGCTGGGTTTTGAATTTGCGACCTGATCGATGAGCCTGTAGACCTAGTTATAGTACTGACAGTGGCATGGGAGTGCTATTGATGGATCTGTGGGTGCAGTATAGCGCTTTAAAATTGAACGTTGACTAGTGACAGCGCAGTTGTGTGTGAAGTATGCCAGTAGCTAATATACAGCCTGTTTGGGAGGCCGTAAACGATCGTGGATTATTTACTGCTGGCTGGTTTGGTGTGAGAGAAAAACACTGTTCTGGCTGGAAATTTACGATCGTTTACGACCAAGCGAACAGGCTATACTTGTGTTAGATGCATTGCATCTGTAATCTGTACAGCATGCTAAAAATTGTATCCCAGCAACCCGTGCTTGCGTCCCTGTGGTACCTGTTTTTTCCCCTGCTAACCACCATCCTTAATGGAATTGAACAAGGAAATTTGGCGTATGGGTCTTCATGTTCGTGGACCATATATGGATATAAATTGTGTGAATTATGAATGGACCAGTAGGAAGATTAGTGACTCCGAGCCCTGCTAAATTAAATGTAAAATATACTGTTTCCTGTTCTACATTATCCCCATTCCCCAATATTGCAAACTAGAGCTGAACACAGACAGTGGATGGTAGCTCCCTTTCCTTTTGCCTTAATTGTGTATCTCCATATGTTGTGCCTGTGTGGTCTGAGTCTTAACACTCAGCTATCAGTTCAGGATTAATACGGTACCAGATGACCATAGTGAGACAAGGTCAGATCACCCTCTGATCTTTGGGCTTCTCCTGTCGAGAAGAGGCTATGATGATACCAATTTTATAGGTGAAGCCCTGTAGTTGATTGATCCCTATGCGGAACCCCTCATTATGCCATCATAGTTTTTAGGCTCCTGCTAACTACACATCACGGACTAGCAAATCCATTCTAACTCTTATACTTCTTTTCCTTATTATTATTAAAAAAACTCTTATACTTACTTTAGATACTAATAATTCTTGGTCTTCCAACAAAAACCAATCTAATTGACTATGACTTGTACACATCTAATATGGACGGGATGATGCATGCGTGGTTTCCATAACGATTCTGATGTTCCTATTCTGGCTCAATGATAGATCAGGTTCTAGTATTTTTTAGTCTTTAAAACTGGACTTGCACAGGATACATGTTGAAGTACTGTAATGAGATGAAGTATCCATCCCAGTGACATCCTGTTGGATTCTGAAAGGCAATGTTCCTTTCCAAACAAGAAAGCAGGCATATATATGAAATGTTAGGTTTCTTATTTCTTCCTTTCGTTTTCATCAACCATCATTTTTGTCTTCTTTTTCATCAATTTGGTAGTTGGTTAAGTGCACTTCTTGATTTTACAATTATGTCCATTATTAATCAAACACTCTTTATAGGGATTTAGGAGCCTAGAAGGTTTTGATATGAAACTAGCTACATAGGCCAGTACTTCAAAGGAAATGCTACCACTATTGAAGTCTTCACCGATAGACTGACATTGTTAAGGGCTTAAGGCTGACGACTGATCAAGATTCAGAGAAAAGCAACCAATGAGATGATTGTTTCATGCTTAGATTACACCCCAACAATAAATCACAGCTACTGGTTACTTCAATGCCTTGTGGTTATATCAATTGGAAGGTTAACAGAGTTGTATAAGAAAAGTTAAATTCTCCTCATATGCAGAACTCATGTTTTCTATTTTTCCTATCTGGGCTTGCAACCTGCTTCTAGCCACTGTTCAGTTATTTCTAGTTGAGCAGCTATCCAATGCGAATTCCATTTAACCTGCCCTCTCTTCAAAGCCGATGTATTATGTTCCATCTTGCCTGCTATTTTCTATCCCCTTGGGAAAAACAGACTCTGTTAAGTCCTCTGGCAACTCAATTCTGCTTCTGCTTCTGCCCCATTAAAATTAATAAACAGTCGTGTTTGAGAAAAAAATAATAAACAGTAATTTCAAAATCCGCTAAAAATATTTGGCTTAATTTGGATTCATTTTGTTAGCTGTCGTTGCAAGAAGCCTATGCTAGAAAGCATAATGCTCCTTGCTTTGTATAAGTGAACCATCTTATCGATGATGAGCTGTGTGGTTGTTTCTAAGCCGACCTTGGTGATTATTGCTAGAAATGTTAGCTTAGCTGAGCTGTAATGTGCATCAATTTGATATAAAACTTGACTAGCTGCTTCTAGTTGAAAGTATCCGGGAGCTGATTTGAAATGTCTGAAAATTTTGTATATTGTTTCTGCTTGCCTTTTAACATATTCATTACAAGGCAATTCACTATGTTCCATCCAGATCAGGCTACCCTGTGTTCCAGCTAAGCGATTATTGTAGTTTGTTGCAGATTTGTGCTCCCTTGGTCCATCAATGTTAGGCGTATTTTTATCTGAAAACTTTGCAAGTTTTGATTTACAATTATTTAGGGTGGTTAGTGGCTTAGTGCTCAAAAGTTCCATCAATAAATTTGCATTCAAAATAATTTGTAAAATTGACAATATATTGTAGGATAATTTGACGTTTGAAAACCTTCTAATGCTAAAATACGCCATGCATTGATGGACAGATGGAGAAGCTTGTAATATGCTCAACTATGGTGCAAGCTTGATCATAGTTCTCTCTGCATGCCTAATGCTCTCTTTTGTCTTTCCCCCTCGAATACTCATGAGAGCTGCGCATAATTATCACACACACACACACACGACCAACAGCCAAACTTAGACCAGCTAGTTTTCACCCATAGTCAGCCATGAACCACAATTGTGCTCATCCCTAATGATCTACAAAACCCTTTGTGCTGGGCAAACTCCCATGAAGACACTATCATTTCGTTGCTTCCAGATTGTCCAAGCACCCAATGTGATCAAGGAGTTTACTCCAGTCTGCAATGACCCTGCCACCAAAGTTATGGTTCTGGACCACCACTCAAAGGAGTGCATTGTGGATGGTTGGGTTGGGGTGATAGATCAAGGAGACCAACATGTTAAACAAGATTGACCAGGTCTCCTGCTCAAAGACACAAGAGACTAGGATTTGATGGATAATTTTGTCTTCCTCATAATATAGTAAGCAGTGATCTGGAAGTGGTAAACCCCATCAAGCAAGATGACCGGCTTTCCAACACCGGCTATGGGCTACTAAGTATAGAAATAATTTACATTTCTTAGGAGCCTGCGATTTTGAAATCAATTTGCTTGGTTCAAAAATCAAAACTAACGGATCCAATATAGTGGCACCAAATCAACTAATGTATTAGTTTTTTGCTTTCTGTTGGGATCTACTTTGTTAATGATTGGGCTATCCTGCTGCATTCTTGACTAATTACAGTCAACCTTGAACTACTTTCGAAATCAAATTCAAAGTACGTATTCCTTGACCTGGTGGATTTCTTTTATGTTCTAACAAACAAAATAGATGCTTGCAAAATAATTTGACTTTTATTCTATTGCAACTGATCTGTTCATCAGATCAGTTCTCATATTTGGAATATATGAATACCAGAGGATCTATTCATGTTTTTCTATTATGGTTGATTAACTAC